GGTGTCGAGTCCATTTTCCTAAAAATTTAGCTGTTAGGAATCACATGTCTATAAACATGGGTATGCATATCATTGCAGTAGAATCTCTTTTGCTTTTCTGGAAGACACCCATAACTGATATAGCTGGATCAAAAGGAATTTCTGGTTTTAGTTTTCTGAGGCTATACTGATTTCGATAGTAGTAGCACTGGTTCGCATCCTCACCAACAATGTAAAAAGTTTCTTTTTTTTCCAACATCCTTAGAATCTTTTGTTGATTTTGAAAGCTTTTCATGGTAGTCATTCTTTCTGGAGCAAGCTGAAATCTCACTTTTTTAATATTTATCTAATGGGCAAAGATACCTAACACTTTTTCATGTACTCACAAACAATTTGAAAACTGTGTATTCATTTCAATTGCCCATTTTTGATAGGATCTTTTATTTCAGCAGATCTAATTTCTGGAGTACTTTATATAGTCTACATGTTTGCCCTTCATATAAGGAATGGTTTGCACATCTTTTTTCTCATTTGGTAGTTTACCCCCCCCCCCCTTTTTTTTTTCTTTTGCGGTGCAGAAGTTAATTTGATATAGTCACATTTGTTGATGGTTGATGATATTGTGCATTTGCGGTTCTATTCAGAAAGTGCTTGCCTATGTCTGGGTCTTCACAAGTTTTACTTATTTTATATTCCAGGAACTAAATGTTTCTATTTTAATATATTGACCTCTGATCAATTTTTTTATATAATTTTGTGCATGGTGAGAGATAAGGGTCTAGTTTCAAACTTCTGCATGTGAAAAGCCAGTTTTTTACAGCCACATTTGTTAAAAATCCTAGTTCTTTGTCAGCATGTGTGTTGGCCTATTTGTCAAAGATTGGATGAATAGCTCAAGGTGCCTAATGTTGCTTCCAAATCCTCTATATTTGGCTCCACTGATCCACATGTCTATATTTCTGTCAGTAACATGCTGTTTTTATCATCATAGCTTTAAAATGTAACAAAATCTGGGACTGTGGACCTCATGCTTTGCTTTTCTTGCCTAAAAGGGAAAAATTATACAAAACAAATTTTTCATTTTAAAACTTTGTTCTTTCTGATACTGTCTCTCTGTTCCTGCTTCATGGCTCTATAATTACTTTTTTGACACCTGTAATCACAAGAGTACAGCCAACTATGCAGAAGGTCTGAATGTAACAAGTTTGATAATTAATCTCATTTTGTAATGGATGATCACTAATATAGTCTTGTAATTGACATCTCACCCTATTAAGTAATCAAAGAACTACTAAACTATGCTGTCTCACCTTTCTACTTCCCACTTATGCATTATATAAAAGCCCTAGACCACCAGAGATCAGGGCCTGCTATTTTGGGAATGATCCCAATCAGTGCCTGTTTTAGAATTTTGTCCTTATGACACAATTGTTTCTGCCCATAAGGAACACAGAATGTCTTTTCATATTCTGACGTCTTCTTCAGTCTCTTTTGGGGGGGGCAGTAGTGTATTTCTCATCATAAAGGCTTGCTTTTACTTGGCTATATTAATTCCTATGTATTACGGTTTTTGAATGTACTATGAAGGGAATTGTTCTCCCTATGTCTGTCTCACTGACATTGTTATTTTTTTATTTTTTATTTATTTTTGTTCTTTCAAAATTTTATTGATAAACAGATAGCAATGAGACAGTTTCAAATCAAATCGGAAGTACAGTTTCAACAAATAATATACTACATACATTCTTCTTAGTGGTTAATTGCTGTACAAGATGCGGACTTGAGATCCTATTTACAAACACCATTAGAACAAGTCATTCTATTCATTAAGA